GAGCAGAAGTTCTGTCAGCGCACGCAGAACGAGAAATAAACTCCTTCTGCACAAGAACTTTTGCTGGACAAGTTACTGCATTACCGTTCTAACGAAACGAAACTGTGTCCTGGTAAATCAAAGTTTTCGACACGTTTCTTAAAAATGAAGTATACGTTAAAACTGGCAGAATCGTCTTTTTGTACGGAAAGAAGGTCTTAAACGAGGGTGGAAATTAACCAGAAAAGAACAAAGACGAACACTATTCAATTTCTACATCGTGTACTGCGGTCAGTTAAAGCTCTAGAAAGCAGTTTTGGCAATAAAAGGATCGATGTCTTATTTACCAACTATTCTGGACAGAAGGATAGCTCCTCAATCATGGATCTACGTAAATCTGAGTTTTAAAGTCAGACCAAAGGATCAATAACAATTGGTGGAAAGCAGCTACTACGGACGCGATAAGGACAAGACCCTACCGCGATGTGAAAAGACCAGCTATCGGAAGGCAGACTTCTTCGTGATGAGAATCGACATAATACGATAAGGATCTTGTTGTGTAGTTGAAGAGCCAGACGTACTGGTTAATTCTTACACACAGGAAGAACGAAAGACGACGCCACTAACCCAGGTTTTAATCACTAGATGAACAACATGAAGAATGAAGATACAGCTGATATTTGTTAGTAACAAAGCATCCTTCTTTTACAAAATTTGTCATCACATCTATTGTGAAGAAGACACCTCTTATTTCATTTGATTCATTTGCACGTCTTCGTCGTCCACAATGATCATCTAAAGTTTCGCATGTTGTTTCGGCTGCTGCTTTAGGATTACGCTTTCTTGGTGAATGTCGTAGAGCATTGGTGGACTCGATTCTCCCTGAAATCTTATAGATAACCGGGCTAACGCATTCCCACGTGAATTGAGGCAGAGCGTTGTAGAGTAGGTCTTTGGTTCCTGATCAGAGATATCCCTAACCTCCGCCCTACCCCTAGTCTAGGAAACAACTTATGACTACTATTAACCTTACTAAGTTAAAAAAAACTACCAAATTTTTGAAACTTTGTGAGAAACCTAAGATATTTGTGATGTGACAGATTCGAACTTGCAGAAAGCTATCCACTCAATGAGAAGGTGAGCTTTCAAAAGGTGACATATTTTTGAAAGAGGTCTTATTTTAGGAAAAGTTGGAAATGGATCTGATGACTATAAAGTAGTCTCTGTTCTCACTAATTTGTCGTTAAGTAACGAGAGCTCTATATTCGACACGTGCCCACTTGTTTTATATAATCACCTAGATCCTGAACTTCAAAAATTTCACCATCCTGGATACAACCCAAAGGCGGTGAGGATCACCTTTTATTATTGCTTTATTATATAAGCTTTTGATGCGTGTATCTTACTTACTTATTTGGATACTTAGACGTCCCGTCTTCACGAGCTGTGCGGACCCCGGCACATACGCCATTCGTTCCTTCCTCTCGCAATCGTAGCCCATGGTGGTGCTTTTCTTCGAGCATGGTAGCGCTTTCGAGTCTCATACCGTGATCTGTAAAACAACTGCAGCTGCGGGTACAGCTGACTAACTTTGTTTACGAACACGTCCGCACAACGTGTAGGTGGTCGTCCAAGGAGACGCTTGCATCCTCTTGGAGTCCACTCTACTGTTCTTTTCGTCCATCTGTCGACTGTTCTTCTCATTATGTGACCGGCTCAACTATGTTTCACTATCGATCTATATTCTTCTGGATCTCGAAGATGTAACAGATTTCGAAGGTCAGAGCTTCGCATGTTGGCTACATATTGAGAGTGCCGGTTATATTTCAGAAGACATCGTTCAAGCGCTCTGTGAGTAGTTCGAAGCGTTCTTGACGTAGTTGGACTACGAACCCACGTCTCTGCAACATAACAGAGCACTGGAGGATCGTAGAATCAAAACCATGAGCGCGGATTTTCGGGTCCTTCAGTTGGTCGGTGGGTTCTTTGAGAGGCCCGAATGCGGCCCAAGTTGCTCTTCTTCTTCTATCTAGTTCCCTCTTCATGTTGTTTTCCATGTTCACTGATCGCCCAAGATAAACGTACGAGGTGGTCTCTGCAATGAGATCCAATTCAATTTTTTCGCCTTCGCACCATGGATTTTTCATGAACTGATTCTTTCGATTTATGCGAAGTCCGATCCTTTTCCACGCTTCGTTGAGCTTGTTAATCATCACTTTTGTTTCGCTAGTACTTCCTGAGAAGATGACGATGTCGTCGGCAAAACAAAGGTTTGGTAGGAATATTCCACAAATACGCATGCCCTTCTCATCCCAATCGAGTGACTCTACTATCCACTGCAGTGCGGCACTGGACAGCTTTGGCGATATTGTGTCACCCTGTCGAACCCCTTTTCCTATGGGTATTGTAAGAGGTCGGTGTAAAAGCTGCATTTTCGCAGTGCAGTTCCGATAACAGTCAGAGTTTTTATGTAGACGGGTTCACTCCTTGGTCGACGAGCACTAATAGGATTGCATTCGTTTCGACGCTGTCAGACGCTTTCTCATAATCGATAAAGATTAAGACTAGAGGCAAGTGGTATTTCCGACAAACTTCGATGACCCTGGACACGGTTTGGATGTGGTCCATGCAGCAAAATCCTTTTCGAAATTCTGCTTGCTGGACTGGCTGCGCCTCCTCTAATGTCTTTGATAAGCGCGAGAGGATAATCTTCGTGAAGAGCTTGTAGAGTGCACTTAACATGCATATGGGACGATAGTTATGAAGTTCCCTTCGGTCTCCCTTCTTGGGTAGGATAACCATGCGCGACGTCCTCTACTGGTCTGGGATTCTCTCCTTTTGAAAGTAGGCTGGCATATGATTTGAGAGAAGTACAAGTAAATTGTAGCTTCCAGCTCTAAGGAAGTCGGCGGTAATATTATCAGGTCCTGGAGCTGTGCCTCTTTTCATGTTTTCTATCGCAACTCGAACCTCCGACGGAAGAATTTCTGGTGGTTTTTCACCAGCGGGGATATTAGGGCCTGGGACGGGAATGGTGGAACGGAAAAGGTTGGTGTAAAACGTTTCCGCTGTTAATTCCATATCATGGCGGAAAGTCTTAATGATCCCATCTTCGTTCAACACAGCTGACAGTGGAACATTATAATTACACAAGTCCCGACAGCACTTTTTCACACTGCTTGTTTTCTTTGCTCCTTCCAGCATTTTCTTTTGCTTATACCGTTGTAGACCTTCCTGCAAAGCTTGCGGCTGAATCGAATCTTCGCGCGAAGAAGGTGGTGATCGGAACCAGTACAGAATGATGGGACTACCGATGTGTCAAGTAGGCACCATTCCTGTTTGTCAGAATATGGTTGATCTCCGCATAAGTCATACCGTCAGAGGACTCCCATGTCCAACGGCGGCTTTCTTTCTTCTGGAAAAACGATTTTCAAAACGAGGAAGAGACGTGCTTTTGACAGGCTTTCCACTAATCCAAAATTTCCGATCTTGTATTTGCTCTGTTGGCTTTTATCATCCTGGCGTTGAAGTCTCCAACAACAAATTTATGATATTCTTTATAATTGCGGATGACTTCCTCCAACTGATAGTAGACCGCATTTAATTCGCTCTCATTAGCTACGTCGGTCGGTGAGTAGCAGTTGATGATAGTGATCTCCTTATAATGCGACAGTTGAAGACGGAGGGCGGCTATGCGAGGAGAAAGGATCACGTATGAGTCGACAAGATGGACAATGGACGGATGGACGACAAAGCCTACGCCACCGACATTTCGTGACGAGACCTTATCTCCGCGGATCACAAGGGTCCCGTTGTTTAATTGGCTTATGTCGGTCTTCTCGATTTTTGTTTCCTGTAATGCGATCACATGAAATTTAATTCGATCTGCGGCTACAGGGCGAAGGGCGTGAAGATCGGCGTCTGTGGAGAGTGTTCTAGCATTATACGTGCACAGTAAGAAACAATCTCCATAGCGTGTCGTGCGTGTGTACGTCAAATCCGGTTCCAATGACGTCTTGCGTAACCCGAGATTTTCTGGCCTTTCACGGATCGTCCCACCGCTTGACGTCATAGACGGAAGCACCCAATGTGCGGGATACTGAGGCTGGCCTATTGGTCGTGCAACTTGGTCTCCTCTGGAGTCCTGACGTAACCTTGCAAGGTCGTATCCAGGTCTTCACCACGATGTAGATCAGAGGGAAGTCATGTCATATTGATCAAGTATTAGATCGTTATTAATATTGTATTATATTAGATCACCATGTTGCGTGCGTCACGCTGCGCATGTCCCAGGGCTTCTTGAACTCGATTCGTTTCCCACCCCGCACTCACCGTTCATGCAAGTTTGCGATCTTTTCTTCTTGTGGTTTCGGTGGTTGCGTGAAAACTTTTTCTTCTTCATCATGAATGCCATCGAATTCTCGCGTAGTTGTTTGTCCTTCGATGTTCGAACTAGCCATAGTAGGGCGCTCTCACGTGGATTAGAGGGAGTGATCTTGTTCCAGACAGATTTGATACTAATATCCTGGCCACCATCTTGGATACAATCCAAAGGCGGTGAAAATGATCTTTTGTTATTACTTTATTATATGAGCCTATGATGTGTGTATCCCACTGCGCACATCCCAAGATTTCTTGCACTCTATTCGTTTCCACCTCGCACTCACCATTCATGCAAGTTTGCGATCTTTTTTGCCTTTCGTCTCGCTGATTACGTGAGGATTTTTTTTTCTTCGTCATTAATGTCATTGAATTCTGGCGAAGTTGATTGTCCCTCAGTCTCCGAAATAGCCATAGTAGGGCTCTCTCACGTGGATTAGAGGGAGTGATCGTGTTTCAGACAGGTTTGATACCAATATCCTGGTCACAGTGTGATAACCACCGCGCTACTCGTTTGCTCGTGAAAAGTGTTATGTCCGAAAAATCGGCCCTAATATGCAAAAGAACCGAATGAGATAAATGTTCTAGAAGAAAAATATGTGCACATATTAGGTTGAAAGGGCTCCGGAACAAAAAATTGTAGAGAACAATGACTCTATGCGATTTGAACATTACAATCCGCAATTTTCTTTCCATTTAGAGAGTATAGTGTCGGTTTAGGGCTGCAATGCTTACGAAGCGTTGACCGAATTAAATGGAGCACAGATTAACATCGTGGAAAAAGCTAAGGACTACAAATGCCAAGCCAGGTAATCTACGAGGAATGAACGGTAGAGTAACCGAAACTTTCGGGTAGTTATGCAGTTATCATAAGCTGTAAAGCAAAGACCGCTAAAAGTGAACGAAAAAAAAAACATGTTGGAATGGCGTACCTATAACTCCAGTTTTGAAAGATGGATATCAGATTGAGCGGACTAAACCCAGCCAATGTAGATCAGTGATTGATAGGCCTTACTTCGGTCACACATCCCCTGGCTAGCTGTTAATGCAGTTAAGGCAAACCATCCATTGAAGGAGACTTGCCGTATTGAAATGTCAATAAATTCCTTTCCATTTAGGTGTATTCTTCCTAATAAGGACCGTGATTATATCGAAGGAACGTGGGTTGACCTCCCATCTACGAATGTGTTCGAATGTGATGTTATAGAAACGAACTGTACAAACAATGGTAGAACTGAAGCGTTTCTGCATACGCAGATACACGAAAAAAAGTGGGCGCTAAGTACATTCTACCAGTCAGTCGATGAGTACGAACGCTGCTTTCGTGCGACTGTGGTCGGTGTCACCTCGTAATCATTTAATTTCAGAGATTCTCAGAAAAATTCAAGACCAGACGTGTATGTTTTCATTATCGACTCGGTTTCTTCATTTATGATGAAAAGGTTGGCTAGCCACGAATATCAACTTGGGATATTTTTCTTTGGAATTTGGCACTTAGTCCTGATATTCCTCTTACCGAAATTTTCTGAGATACGCCTGCTGGACTAGATAGGAGCGAATCCACATGCTTTTCAAAATTTAGATCATGTCCAAAAACGCTTGAATATCTGAAAAGCATGGGCGGTGTTCAAATGGAGTTCCTCAATAAGGTTGGCGACAACAGTCGACCGAATGGATTTGCACTCGCCTTCGGTAGGTTGACGAGCGATGTGTTCACTAACGCTATGAGCTTAAAGAATTGATTAGTTCGCGTATGTAATCAATACGCATCTTGAAAAAACGTGGCTAAACAAGCATGGCGTAAAAATGAGTAAAACTAGAACTAGTTTCTTTGTTCGTCTTTTAAATCACAATAAATCTCCACTATTTCTGGAAAATCCATCGAGGGCGGAAGCCGTCACATGGTCGGGCTACCTCCGTTGATATCCGACTGGAACAACGATGAAATATGCGCCAAATATATCGACAGTTTTCCGTATTATTTGTTTGAGTACGAAAAAATGGGATACAGAGTAAGCATTGAAATTTCTTTCTATTCAAATCGGCAAGTACAGTTTGTATGACGTTAAAAAAAACGCAGTCGTTAAACAACTTCGACCGGATTAGTCGAAAGTTATCGTTGATATCGCACCATCGAAAATCCACTGACCGTTCAGGATATTCAACCTTAAAAACTCTAAAGCATAGTTGCCACCCATTTGCTCACGTTATTAAGCGCCTTAACTCTTCCTCATTGCTCGGCAACTATTTCTAGACGCGTTTCTAACAGCTTCCTCACAAAGATCAGTTGATACTGCAGACAATGACCGCTCAAGACTACGATGTCGGCATGATATACTATCCGAATTGTCTTGGATTCAACAGAACTGAGGCGGATCACATTTGGAGGTGAAGATTTACTAATTTGTGGTTTATGAGTTACAGTTGTCATAAGATACTGAAACAATGACACGAAAAAAGAACTACTGGTTTCTGCTAGTACCTTAATGGAAGAAGAGTGTTACATCTATTAGGAGATTGTTTTAGTTGGACTTAGCAAAGACGCATAGAGATGGGAACCTACCTATTTACCCCACCAATAGTGCTATGGTCTTGCCCACCCTTTGTATTCGTGCAATGTTCTACCACTGCATCAATTCAGTGTTGCTTTCCTAACAGACAGATCTGCGACTAATTTGCTGATCCCGGAGATGGAAGACTTGGTGATCTCCAACGAGGGATCAAAACAAATCCACCTATTACCACTAATCTACATCCTAAATAACCATTACTGTTTCCTTTTGAGCTGAACCCATAAAATACACTCGGCAACGCGATAAACGTTTCGCCAATGCGTTATTCCTCGTTTTCATCCCCTGTTAATATTCTCTCTGTTATGATTGCAAATAGTTAGAACAGTTATAGTTATGTAAGTAGTTATCAGTTATCAGAGAATGAATGATGCTGCTTGCATAGACTGAGGCTGGATTGATGTCTGGTGATATACCACTTTATTTTATTTTATACAAAGCGACATCATATACTGTGCTGATCCCAACACCAACAACCCTAAAATCATTACAATTTCTAAATCAAAGATAACAAACATTAACACACGGTGTCTTCAAATTAATTGAATCGGCTGCTAGTTGATGATTATGAACACGTTTGTAAAGGCAGTTGAATGGTGGTAGATTTGACTTTCTCTGATATCCTAGGACGGCCATATTGTGCGTACCAAGGTCATTTTTAGAAGAGTCTAGAAGAGAAGAGGCAGTTTCGCCTTCGTGTCGAGTCAGGTCTTCTTCAGTAAGCCATCACCTCGAATGAGACATCCTTACTCAGTGATGATTTTTTTATACACGATGCTGATGGTGAATATAATGATAATGTCCGGTGATAACAACTTGTTTTTTTTTCCGGACATAATCATCGCGCACATCGTGCAGAAGTCAGAAGTGTTATTATCAGCTAGCACAAAGCGTAGTAATATTTCGAAACCGACTTTCCTTGAACCTCGGTATCACTAATCAATATGTATTCTTTCTTTGATGAGCTTACACGAGGTTGATAATGATATTTATTTTCGGCTAACGTTTCGACGTCTTCGTCTTCCTCAGAGCCGATGATACGAGTCGATGTTCCATGCTTGGTTCATGGCGGTTCTCTCAGGGACTGATCAACGCTGGACGCCTTCATCCGTTATTTTCTAACAACACTGACTAGGATAAATAGACCACTAAGCACGATTTCTCTTGCGCTGATTTGGTCCTACGCCCAGACTAATAAAGTCCACACGTGCTGCCATCTGGTTACCAAAATTGGTCAAAGATCAACTGGCTGTAACGAATTTACCCATCCATTGCTTTAATGGTGTTAAAATTTAAATTCTCGTTAGCTTGCTCCTAAGATTATGACTTAAAACAAAATCACTTACATACCAGATGAAGCTGCTTCTGGATGGCGAATACATATTGATTAGTGATACCGAGGTTCAAGGAAAGTCGGTTTCGAAATACTACTACGCTTTGTGCTAGCTGATAACAACACCGACTTCTGCACGATGTGCGCATTGATGTATGTCAGGAAAAAAAAACAAGTTGTTATCACCGGACATTATCATTATATCCACCATCAGCATCGTGTATAAAAGGGCATCACTGAGTGAGGATGCCTCATTCAAGGAGATGGCTCACTGAGGAAGACCTGACTGGACACGAAGGCGAAGTTGCCCCGTCGAGACGAATAACAAGCATGGACCATCGACTCGGGTCATCCATCGGCTCTGAGGAAGACGAAGACGTCGAAACGTTAGCCGAAAATAAACATCATTATCAACCTCGTGTAAGTTCATCAAAGAAAAAATACATATCTCTTAACTGTATCCTCGATTCTCTTGTAAGCTCCACATGCCGCTCGCTTTTTTCTGCTCAACTCTGCAGTTAATTCGCCCGTCATGTTGGTTTCTGACCTAGATGGACGAAACTGGAGCCTTTGGAGATATTCGTTCCCTTTAGCTCCACTGGGAAAACAAAAGCAATACCAATGATGTTTGTACAATAGGAAGTGTGTGGGAACATTGTTGCAGTCAATGAAAAGAATATGCTCAGACAAATCCAAGTACCTATAAAAAACCTTTCAGACCATTTGAACTTCGCATATGGAAATCTGATTCATTGAAGAAAAGTTTCGACGAATCCTGCAGTGAGCGCCATTTAGAAATGATGGACTACCTGGAAAAATTCATGCGTGCCTACCCAGGTGAATCTAATGCTTTTTTCTACAGTGTTCATAAACAATACTGCTTTTAATAAGGTTGGAGATGGTAAGTATAAGAGAACAAACGTATTCTTCTGCTTCTAATTTGCCAGGACATGGGCTTTCTAAAGTGTTTGATAGAGTGTTCTCTCTCAACGACGAAGAAAGATTTCTCTTGGAAAAGAATCGGAATAAATGTACAAACTTGGTTCCTAGTCAAGGAAATGATTTGATTACATGGCGTTTTCGGAACACAACAACTCATGCAAGCCGGATCATGTAATGTTGGCATCTTCATGAAAATCCCTTAATGAATTCTACCTCATTTTGAAAAACAGGAAATGTAGAAAGAAATACTTAAGCTGGTCTGATGGAGTCTTTGACACGTAGCAATCTCAGTGAGATTTGGGAAATATCCACACGAATGAAGCAAACAGATAGAATGATGCCACAAATGGAGCACGAGACCACCAGTGTCACTGACTTTAAATTATGGATTTTCAAAAAAACTAATACATGTATATTAGAAATAATAGGCTTCAAATCTTATTTCTTATAATGGGAAAAATCTTCTATCCGTTTGGTCTCATTAACCGATGAGAAATTATGTGCAAAGTTGAGAAACTCAAGAACTTGAGGAACTCCGAAACTAGCTCAAGTGTGGCCAACAACCTTGGCACATGAGACATTGAAGGATCTCTACCATTCTGATGAACAATTTTTGGCGTTCTTCAAAAAAAATCGAGAGTTCATAGATCAGTCGTTCTTCATAATGATGGGCGATCACGGACCACGGCGAGACGGAGTGGGTGAGATTGTCACATGTACTGGCGAATTGATGATGTCTACATATTATTTTTAGATTGGCGAAACGCTTCTGGGAAAGTATGAGAATTCGAATCCATTCCTCGTTGTGCTAATTCCATCCAAGTACCGTAGTACATCGATACATTACGAACTATACAAGAAGGCTAACGAGTTGATAACCCATTTCGACCTACACGCGACGCTCATGGACATATTAAAGGTCAGAAAGATAAATTCTAAAAGTTTTGGTGGTAACCTAAGTTCAATGTTCTGTGAAAATAGTTGACCCTAGAAAACCTCACAAAACCATCTTCGACGATTTATTCAGTTACAACCGGATGCTGAGTTTTCGGACACCTCCTATCGTGAGCTCGCACCATTAAGCAAAGGATCGTCGCTGTTCAGAGAGTGGCGAGGAGTAAGAAACTGCCGGACGCTACCAATACCATCTGCATATTGTATATGTCAGTACAACAAAACTGCTGTGACGTAAGTTTATGCAGAATTCCTCGCTCAAGAAATATCTGTATCTTTAGATCCTGAAAAATCTCTCATATTGTTTGAAAACGGGAACTTTAACTTTCTTCCTAAAAAAAAACATATTGAAAGAGTTTTCAAAGAAGTATGAGGACTTCTTAATATTGCGTGCAAAGCATTGTTTGCTAGTGAAAGCAAAATGCACCTTTAATGAACTCAACTGAGTTGGAGAGTTGGAGCAACTATTGCTATTCAAAAGTTCAACTTATTCAAACTTATTCACCTTCTAGTAATTCGAAGAAGCATATGAAAACTGAGCTACTTTAAAGATGTTTAGCGATCAGGTGTTGATAATAAAACTGGGCAACTTCTTCGCTGAGCAACTGAACAAGCTTTTGCACAACAGCGGATTGAAGAACAAGTGCCAGATGCAGTATTACAACTCGGTCAGATATTTTTAGTCGGTTCTCCTTTGACGTGGGATCTTTCAAATATCCTTTCACTTGCATCTTTATGACCTGTAAATATCTCATCGATCTCTGTTACTAAGATATCTTCTGCCGAATATGGGGTGGATTTCTAGTTTTCTTGCTTATTAAAGGCGATGTTGTAGATGTCTTGAGAGAAAGGTGGCGTCATGAGACGGATTATACCTGTCCAACCCTCTAAAACTGTAAACATAATGAAGCACATTCTTGTTGACTACGAATTTTCCCTCGATGTGGTAGCGCGTGATAGCAGTGGTTCGAAAGATGAAGTATTCGAGGTCGATCAGCCTTCTAGAGATGCGTCGTGCCCTTGACTCCATTTAGGTATCGCGGAGGTAAATAGTTATATATTTGGCCCAACTAGACCTCGAGAATTGCTCGAAGAAGTAGCTAATGGTGAAAAATAGTTTTTTTTTGAACATTTCGTGACGTTACAGTTTTTTATTAAGACCTCGACTATCACGCAGATTGAGGACGGCGACGCTGTGATTTATGACATAGCTGTGTATCTCAAACCTTCAGGTGGACTGCTAACGGTAAGTGGGGATCTTGATAATAGGCTAAAATCAATAGACACTTTTCCCTTATATTACAGAATTGGTAGACAACCTCAATGAGGGTATGACTGTTTTCACACGCAAACGAATTCCAGTGTAATTCACTGTGCAAGTGGGTTGGTAAAGCGACTTGGATTGTGGGGGTGTCTAACTACTGAGCCACACAGGCTGTTTACTGGCTAGGAACCTATCGAAGACAAGTTGATATTGCATGCATAAAAATTTTGCCGAAAAATGAAAGGGCCTATTTCTGTAATCCGAGATAGGAAGAAGATGTAACACCGGCGCTATATTTGGAGGAGACTCCCAAAACCATTTAACATCCTTTAGAACCGAAAACTGAAAACGATTCCAGTGAAATCTGCGCTTCAGAGTAAAGCGTGATAGCGTAAGAAATCAGTGAAGACGTTGCGATGAGGCATCGAAGAAGTATGTGGGAAGGCGATTTGAATTTGATGAGAGATACAGTACCGACTAAGTGGTGCTGGAGTACCAGTTGCTATCAGAGCTGCTTTGTTCTTTTACCAGAAAACACAAGCTTGAAAACGTTCGTCAAACATTCTTAGTGCGGCAAGCTAATTTGGAATGTCTCAGTTGAATGCACACGTTCGTTCATTCATTTGCTTCACGGTCCCAATTGAGATCGTTGAAATTGTGGATGTCCTTTGGAATGCTTCGCTCTAAAAATGATCGTATTCTATGCTGTATTTAGTCTTGCCTCGTTTTCCGATTTGTACATTGATAAATCTTCAATTTAAATTAAAGTTCAAAGTGAGTTTTTAGATTTCCAACTACAGGCTGACCACGCTTATTCTAAACAATTTTTTTTCAAAAAATTTTGTTTGCCGGAAAGTCGTCGTTTTCCAAAAAGTACATGAATAGCTAAGTTTGCGCACATGTTTAGATAAATCGGATCAAGAATGGAGGATTTAGATCATTGACTCCCACATCCGACTTTCAATTAGCCTCGGAATTGATTGAATTATTGTTTCTACTTCTGTTCAGCAAACACGAGGTGTTATTTTATTTCTTTATTTACGTGCAAGCTGACGTTTCGGCAGATTTCGCCTTACTCAGAGTCTGGAAAGGTCAAGTTGACTGCAATCTACACGGCCAAACATCTCCAATACCAAACACAGAGAACGCTAAACCAAGATTTCAATCACATTGAACACAGTTTTGCACACACTCCGCTTTCTATGAGGCTTTCACTGAGTAGGCCGCGTGAAGACCAACCGCACTGAATTCACATGGAAGTGTAATGTGCCCCTTCCATCAAAATAACAGGCTTGTATACTGCCCATTATCACGCGTGATAATAAGGCATTCCTCCCAGCGGGTCGTTTTCGGATTATTGGAATTAATTCGGAATGCCTCTGGAGTTTCGCGCGCTTGTGTTCTCGATTCCTGCGCGAGGATCGTGACCTATACTTCAAGGTCGCCCCCGTTATGTCTATGCATCCTATGCGTGTCTATTGGAGTATTTGGTTTAGGTTTACAGACTGGGTGCTTTTTTATACGAACACAGAGTGCTCCACCCGTTTTGCCAATCTATTCGTCCCTTCACGCCTTACAAGAGATCAGATAGACTACCCGAACTCATGCAGTCACCGTCTCTACCATTGGTGCAAATTACGCAATTTTGCGTTGCACATAGACGGTCGCATAGGCGGTTACGAACTAGCTGACGTCTTAGTTTACTCGGGGGCATTTCAATTATCGTCACAGAATTCTCTGGACCGGCCCTTCTTAAACAGCGTTTTATAGCTGCACTTACTCCATTTGAAATGAAGGGCAGTATAAACGGGACCTTATTGTCGCAAGAGTTATCGTTGGTGTAACTGTGGTTTCCTCTACACCTATCTCGAGCTACAGTTTCGTAGCCATTTAAAAACTCTAGAGGCATTCTGGATTAATTCCAAGAATCCGAAAATGAACCGCAGGGAGGAATGCCTCATTGTCAAGCGTGACGTACTATATAAGCCTATCATTTTGATGAGATGGGCACAATACGATTCCGTGTGAACTCTTCGTGGCTGGCCTCCACGTTACATATTTAGTGGAAGACTGATAGAAAGCGGTGAGCGTGCAAAGACTTTGCGTTCAATGTGATTGAAATTTTGATTCAGCATTTTCCCTGTTTGGTTATGGAGATGTTTGGCCGTGTAGATTGCAGTCAACTTGACCTTTCCGGGCTCTGAAGAAGGCGAAAGCTGCCGAAACGTGAGCTTGTACGTAAATAAAGGAATTAAGTAACACCTCGTGTTTGCTGAACAGAAATAGAAAAAATTTAGATTATTGTTTTTCCAGGCACACGTTCGTTCAAATTCTGCCGGCCTGAAGCTGAGCTCCGGATTTTCCCGTCTAAACCGTTATGGACGACAAGGAGACTGCCTAATCGGCAATCCTTTGCGACCACTCTGTCATTGTATTGGTACTACTGCTCCATAGACCGAAATCCTCTCATCTAGTCATATAAAGCCTTTTCAGCAATATCTAATCATTGTATAGTTTCCGGAACAACTTCTATTTTTAACCTACGTGAACATTAGAGATTATAGTAATTTCGTATTAATTAAGGATGTCCATGCTGTTACCTGTAAATTGTCTGGGAGCAATCCCACTGAATATAACCTGTCTTGTGCTATTTCATAAACATTTACCTTTCATCATTGGTAATTTGGAAGCAATCGAAAAACCCTCTTCGTATAACCAAGCTCTATAAATGTAACAGCAAAAGTGAATGATTTATTTTGTTGCCTTCTTTCTTTCGAATCTCAGGAAGGTCAGAATCGCTGCTGGCAAAATGTTTAGAAGACATCGTCCAGGTGCTCCGCTGGTGATTCACAGAAATCTTTAAGTAGGTTGAGTGTTATCTCTAGGCTTCCTATTCACAGCAGAGCGCTGATATAGTAACTATTCCTCCTCTAAATATTCCCGATTATGGTGGTGATCCGCCATGACCGTATACATTTTCGCGAAACCCATTCCTAATGTTTAAAGTTTGTCATTCCAATGCGGAAAATAAAAATTTTATTCCTAATTGCAAATGCAAATGGTTGACGATAGCCACGAACACGTCTACTCATCGTTTGAGCGGTCTTCCAAACAGACGCTTATCTTCTCTTGGAGTCTACTCTGCAGCTCTTTTCTTCCATGTACCACCTGCTCCTTGTATTATGTTGCCGGCCAATCTGTGTTTCGCTATCGATGTATGTTCTCTTGTGTGCTGAAAATGGGATAGGTTTTGAAGAGCTGTGCTGCGCATTCTGGTTATTCCTCAGAAGATATCGCTTAAGTGCTCCGTGGATGGTGAGCAGAATTCGTGACGCGGTTGAGGGTTCAGTACGCATCTTTGCTGCTTAATAGCGTGCTGGAAGAACTATTGAGTCGAAAAGGTGAGCTCCGAGTTTTGGTGGTGCTAATCGACGGCTTATTTGAGATAAAGGTATCGGCCTATGCTGCTGTCCTTTTCTGTCTATTTCATTTCTAATAATGCTCTCCTTGTTCACTGAAAATCCACGGTGAATTTACAGAGTACACTTAAGAGACATCAGACGACGGTTGCTAAGATTCCTTCAGTCACCATCCTCAGGCTTAGTAACTGAGCGCGGCATCCTCCAATGATCCGAGACCTTTTCCTTCTAAAGATGAGATATCGCAATGATTGCGACAGTTACATGAAATTCTTGCCTCAAACTCAAATGAAATTAACGATGATGTTGGCAGGTTTTGGAGATGTAGCTCTCTTCATGCTTTCCATTGGAATTAAAACTTGAGAGCATAGGATACTCATGGGTTATTTCAAGTAGGGACTTTGACCCCCAAGCAATAACTGTGAAACATAAAAAAATAAAAAATTGATTCGTCGTTTTCTTTCTCAGTAATCGTGAGGTTGTTAAACAGCATACGTTCATTTCCACACAATAACACACATACAGCACCGTTTCGTTTCGGCAGAATCGCCTTCTTGAGAGCCTGGAAGGGTATAGTGATGTGTAACATGATAGGTTAAACGCTTCAACAGTACAAAAAGGGGGATGAAAATCTAAACGATAATTACAAGATCAACGGCTTCTCGAAAAACCCACCGGTTTTTTCACCTGTCTTCCACCGAAGGAGAACAGCCGCTCAGAGTTGCATATGGTTGACGACTGCACCTCCCAATATCGACGATCGATATGAAGGTACGACGCGATATCACGTGTGATCTCAGGTTACTCTTTGCTCTCTCAAATACTCTCCATCGTTAGTTAGTTCGTAGCCTCCTACACCAACGTCTATGTGAAACACAGAATTGCGTAATTTGCTCTTAAGGCAGGGACGGTAACTGCATGAGTTCAGGTACGATATACCTGATTTCTTGTAGTATTTCCGGAGACGAAAATATTGCCCAAACAGGCAGATTTTTATGTATCCGCATAAAAGAACACTTAGATGACAAACGAAAAGCAAGACAAGGCAAACCTCTTGGGACGCGTAGGATACAAAGCACAGCGGAGACTATTTTGATACAAAAGTCACTCTCTTAGCACAGGATGCCAAAACACCAGCACGCAAGCTTCTTGAGGCTTTTCCGATAAATGACAAGAACCCTGCAATGAAGAGTAGGGATTGATGCCCCGAGATCACGCGTGATCTCGTCCCCACCTCCGTATCGATCGTTGATGTGGCGAAGCGCAGTGGTCAACTATATACGACTCTGATCGGCTGTTCTTCCTCGGTGGACAGGTGCAAACAGCGGTTGGTTTTTCGAGAAGCCATTGATCTTGTAATTATCGTTCATACTTTTACGTCTGTGTTTGTACTGTTGAAAGGTTTGACCTAGTAAGTTCTACGGTTCTGCTGTATGTGTGTTATTGTTTGGAAGTTAACGTATGCTGTGTAACAATTTCGCGATTGCTGAGAAGGTAAACGACGAATTTGTAATCCAATGACGAAGTTAATAGACAGTCGATCCTGGGAACTATAACGAAAGATTGATAAAAAAGACTTTATTCACCAAGCGTTTCCACAGCTTCGTCATCTTTTAGAGTCGATGATCTGAGTTCATGGTCCATAGTCGTTCGCGCTCATGATGTGGATTTTCGTAGTCGTATCGAGTAGAATCTTCTTCTAGCACCGCCCGAATGAAGTAACCTCACTCATGTGATGTATATAACGAACTTCCATGGTTTATATAAAGAATTCTGTTGGAAGCTTTTCTATAACATGGAAGGAAGCGTGGAAAAAAGCCAGCCACCAATGTCCGATTATAACCTCATATTGGTTAGAATTATTTGGCATTCCATTCTTAAGAAATTTCTTCACCCAATCTACCATGAACTGCAACAATCTGTTATGCAGTCACCCCTTTGCCGTGAAAGGACTTTCTGGCTTCGGGTAGCGTTTGTCCTTTCGAAAGGCATCGCAAGTGGACTCTTCCGGAAAACTTTTGTTGTGTAGTGACGACACTCTATGCCATTTCCTGTAAAAACATTCATACACTTCAAATTGTTGATAGTCAACGGCGTTGTTCTACATCTATAGAAATTTGTCTTCCGGTGGCATATTTTGTAGTATGCGAATAACTGAGAAGGAAACTGTGCAATGGTTGCACCTGCTTTCTTTAGTTCCACAAGATCTCCGGGTTTCACCGCGAAAGATCTCCTAATTTGCCAATAAGAAGAAAATGTCTTTTGCTTCCAGATTTTTCTATAAGAGCGCCTTTGCTCCCACGCGCTTCCATTCTGACGCTTGAGTCTAGACAAATCCACATTCAGCAGATGATCGATGACAAATTACAGCCCTGATTAATTTACGAGGATCTAGTACAGAGGGCTAAACTTCTCGTTTTCAACTTTGTTATTAGAATACAGCAGTAATCACCTATCACCCCATCGTTTCCTTGGTTGGCTTCCAGATCCAAGATCTCTGCTGCATGTGCGATGAAATACGGCATACTTTTGTGAACCTGCGGTTAAAACAAAGCTGACGATTGATTGTTGAAAAGGAAAAATACCGTGCGCTCCATCTTAAATCTTTCATTCGCAGCACTGATTTCCGCTGTCCACCTTGATACAGATACAATAGAGAAACCTTTGCGCTGCCTTTGCTTTCTCACGTTACCAATTTCGTTTTCCGTTTCTCAAGTTCCCCATTGAAACTTGCTGGATCCATTCGAAAGATCTCCGTTCCACAAAACGGGTTTGAGGCGCATGTAAATCTTGGAGAAACAAATCATATTTTGAGTTTTGCTCTTTTTTGTAAGAACCTTGTGTAACACGTCACACAAACAATTTTATGGTGGAAAACGAGCCACACAAATGTGAAAACAGATTTCTTTCCATACTACCGTTCAACTTATACGGGTCATTTACGATATAATGCGCCAGATTACGATATAGGCTTATAGGCTTTTTCCTCACCGGTGTAGTCCTCCACGCATGAAAAAGATATTTTTAAAAAAGCTTTGTTGTAAATTGCTAAGTACACAAGATAGGTTCCTGGATCTGATATCCAGCCCCGTAGTCGTCAAAAAAGATGAATCTTATTTCTCACCAATAGCTTCAGTGACATCGATTGCCATCGAAAAGCCATAAATCCCACTTACGAGCGCTCCAGAAATGAACCTTCGCGAGACGGTGTTTATGCACTATCTTGACGATGTTGCCAAGGGATTATCCAGTGAATTCATCATATTTTTCATGGTAATCTTTGACAGTTCTATTTGCACAGAAGTTTAACGGCTCATTGTTGAATTAAGGATTTCGTCGAGCGAAGTGTGCCAGATTCGAGTGAAGGATCGGAGGTTGTGAAAATCTGTCATTTTATCTCCGAGAAAGTGAAGGCGTTCGTCACCTCTCCTTTCACTTAGCTAAGCAGTGTGGTAAAATTTTCATATCGCTCTCGATTTGTCACTTAAGACCAGTGAATAACTTCTAAGGAAATTGTAGTTATTAGTAAAGACTGTCTCCATGTGATTAGTAACAACACATTTACCACACTGGACTGCCTTCCCATTCCCGAGACTAAGGTACTTACATAATCGACCTTCACTTCTTCTACATTCTTTAACAATGATTTTATCCAACTAATTCCAATTTACATCTATTTTGCTATGTTGTACAATTGTTTCAGGTTCTGATAATTCTTATCCGGCCTTTCACAAAACTATACGAAAATTGTGCCTTTCATGCACGTCTTGGAGCGCGTGATCGACGGCCAGACGACAATCAGTTCACGTCGTTCATTAACGCGATCTTCAGCGAGTCGATCCACTTCGAGATGATTTACCTAATCATCTCTCGACTAGGTCTGAGAAAATTGTCGATTTAATTAAAAAAAAATAGAGAACTCGAAAATTTTGGGAACTTGAAGGGTGAAGATGAAATCGCATATGTGATCCACCAACTTCATTAGGGCGAAGGTCTGTGAAACACTTTTTCGCAACGAAACCTTATTCGATTTCTTTTCTGAAGTAGTCGGCTGTCAGCATCGCATTCTGGTAAAGTAACTTTGCTGCAGATTCGCGCAAAGATTTTATCTAAAGAGGTGTCGCTATCCTCGCTCTCCTCGTAGAGGATCTCAAAACATCAACGCGCAAACTTCTCGAGGCTTTTTAGATAAATGCCAAGAATCCGAAAATGAATAGCAGGAAAGAGTGCCCAGGGATAACACGGGATCTAGCCCCGTATCAAAGAATTGCTTTTTGATGAGATGTGGTGCAGTCATCAGCCATATACGACTCTGAGCGGCTGTTCTTCCTCGGTGGAAGGCAGGTAAAAACGGTGGGTTTTTCGAGAAGTCGGTGATCGCCTAATTATTGTTCAAATTTTCATCTTTCTGTCTGTGCTGTTGAACCATTCGACCTAGTGAATTGCATATCAGTTATAGCAACTATTCCCAGAATAGTTTCTATTTCTTTCTATATATATTTGTATCTTTCTACTACTGTATGTTTCAGTATTAAGGATCAATTATGTTCAATGTTTCAGGCACAATAGCGATTCAGGTTTGACTTCAGTAGCATACCAACGATGGCTTATCCGAAGGAGGCGTAACAGTGGAACAGTTTACTACTTCCTTGCGAAACAACGAAGCTAATGATGTTTGATGTTTCAGGCAATTAGGTACAGTCTATTGCGGTCCAGGATCAACAATCCAGATTAACCGCGGTTGCATACGCACGCGGCTCCCGCAGCCGATGTAAGCCAGGTGCCTTCGACGGCGGAGACATGCCATCACTCACCTTACCACCCGATCGGTAGCGCGGATAATCCGCTCCTCACAACCACATCCTCAATCATCGTCAACTCATTCTTAGTCAAACTCATTCATTCTCCTTCAATCACATTCATTCACACATTCACATCCATCCTTCAGTAATCAGCAGATTATTGTATCTCGTTTCTCAGCTTGTCTACGGTGCGATGTCAGTAGTGGCGGGGGGTTTCNTAAGCCAGGTGCCTTCGACGGCGGAGACATGCCATCACTCACCTTACCCCCGATCGGTAGCGCGGATAATCCGCTCCTCACAACCACATCCTCAATCATCCTCAACTCATTCTTAGTCATACTCATTCATTCTCCTTCAATCACATTCATTCACACATTCACATCCATCCTTCAGTAATCAGCAGATTATTGTATCTCGTTTCTCAGCTTGTCTACGGTGCGATGTCAGTAGTGGCGGGTGTTTCCAAATCCGTTCTGTTTGCAACGCCATCGGTGGCATGTACCATTCCTCCCACAATGTATACGCAATGTGTACAATGCCGCTAAGCGGCCAACTTATGCTATGTATTCTGCTAAGCCGCTATAGGCTTATCAGTTTTCTAGCCATTTATCATACTGGCCCTTACCCTTAGGCAATGGTGGCACCCATCGATGCTCAAAGTTCACGTTGCTGACATAACGTTATTCACGACCAGCCGCCTGACTGTGTTCCGTAGATGACTCATCATTCACTGTCCATAGCACCGTCAACGCTCATGTAACTTACAGTCCTCATCGATCCACTAAAAATGCTCCTCATCGCTATAATGTTGAAATCTTAGCTTGGCCGAAACACGGACAGTCTGTAACCCTCACCACCTCAGCATACTGTCGCCGTCTCCGGAGCATACAGTCTCCTCCCTCCGCCCCCAGCATACTGTCTCCCTCAGCCGCCGCGCCAGCCGCGAATAGACGCGGCGCGGCGTCGCTTACGGCTAAGAAAAGGCTACTTCGTTGTAATCTCATTATTGTTGTTAATATTGTGTTAATGGTATAATAATGTTTGAATGCCATTGCCTCATTGTTAGCTTCACTTCACTACAGGCCTTAGCACCTCAGAGCTCTAACTTGTGTCATTCCTATATCATTACTTCTCTATCGTTACTATCATGATATTAGTGTTGCATCGGCGTAGCATTTATGTATATAAAGGTTTAATTACCCAAGTTTGAGGCATTGCCTTGTGACTACTACGAAAAGTCCCGCATGGCATTTATTCACGAAGTGGAGCATTCTGCTAAAAGCTAGTGATTATTCGGTGCCGAGAACTGACTCGAAGGCCTATTTTCGACTTGCAACTGCAATATCAGTGTACCCTTACGGGCACTGAAGAACGCGATACTGCCAAACGCCATCTACCGTTGTGCTGTATGTGCTGTTCTTTTGCTCGTAAAGAGAAATGCAAATTAGTGTTCAGTAATTGTTATACAGGCATATAAACCTTACAATTCGTCAAGTTGCTCTCTCGCGAAGAAAAGGTTCTATTGAGCCAAGAGACATCGAGTTGTCCCGTTGGCATATTAGGAAACGTCGTATGTGTCGGTCAAAATCGGATGTTCCTTCTATTAATTTGAGCACTTCATGACTCGTTCGCCTACGTTATTTCTCAGATGAGTGGGTATTGTTGAACTATTCGCTAGTTCTCTATAGCGACTCGTCGTAAAAGGATATGGGAAACTGTCTTCAATATTTCACTATCTGGTAAATAAATTGATATATCAGCAATAAGTTAACTCTTAGGCCACTGATAGGACAGCAGTAGTGACGCCGGTCATCACAAGCATGGTGCTAGTTCGATTCCGCTTCGAGCCAAGCAAGCCTTTCCTCCCTCCGGAGTCGGGAAATTGGTACCGGTCGTTTATGGGAAAAATCGCTCTCTGCAATCTATTTGTTAACGCTCCAACCCGGCTATCCCAGGACTCCAGGGAGAAATGCTCGGCCATCATTTTACGACGTTCAAGATGAAATGGAAATCGTCAAGTGGCAGGAGAGGCCACACGTAAAAGTTAGAAGATCTTCGTGACCAATGGATGCGAGCAAATGAGAAGTGCTGGTATCCGCAGAATAGACGTGAACCTGGACCATGAAAAAAGTTGGCTTTGGGTAAATGAAGTGCTTCGCTTTCGCTGCTTCATCCAAACAATTTCTTACCCGATGAAACTTTTCCCAAATCATAGGCTAACACTAAGGTAGTTCCCTCATCACAGGTAGCAGATGGAACATGTGACTTATTATTACGACAGCACAGAAGTCATAGGCAACATAGACGGAAGCTCGTTCAATGAAGTGAAAGAGACCCGAAGACAACTACCGGCTATTTCGCTTTGTCCATGGGTCTGCTCAGGTTAGACAAATCTGCAAATACAGGAATCGAATCATTGCAGCTCAGAAGAACACGAATGCGTTGAAGCGTTGGCCACAGCAAACATCTTATATCTGCCTCATGCAAGCTCATAAATAGAAAAAAATACTGACTGCTCATGCCGAACTCGTACGGATGTTAATGGTTAAAAACATTATTAATTATGTCGTCACTTCTTTATTTACTGCCCATTTTTTTTTCAATGCAACGTAGGAAGTGAAACAATGATGCTGATATCTGGGAAACTGCAGACCACCATTCTCTGCGATGGGGATCGAATTCGCTATTCTTTTTTCCGCGTTATAATGAGTTCGCTAATACACCATGCGAGTCTTTCGTTTCGCTTTTCTCTCAGTCAGCTTCAGCTTAACTGCGTTAAATGCCGATTTAGGCTCCCCAAATCAACCCCGATGACGGATTATTGCTGTTGGCAAAAGGTAGATAGAATTAGCTGAGAGAGAGGTGATACGAAGGACCCGCATGATGTGCTGATGAACGCGTTACTCCCCGGAAAGGACAATAGCTCGTTCGTTCCCCACCGCAGACACCAGCTTTCCGGAGTTTTGTAAATATCACAGTATCGTCTTAGTTGTATTTGACATAATACCCTGCCATCAGAAATTAAAGTAGGCAGCAAATAAAAAGGTTACGATTGTGATTTAGACTTCATCGTCAGCTTAACTAGGCTCGTTGAAGATTTGGGCTCCCTGGATCAGTCCCGTTGAAAGGTGATTACTGATGGCGCAGATCAAGCAGAGAGACAGGCGAAACGAAGGACCCGCATGGTGTGCTGGTGAACGCGTTACTCACCGGAAAGGACAATAGCCCGTTCGTTCCCCACCGCAGACACCTGCGTTCGGAGTTTTGCAAATATCCCAGCATTATAGTAGTTAAAAACAGAATATTCAAACACATTCACATAGAAACAAGAGAAAAGTGGTAAGGGTTACATGTACGCACTGTACACTTATGTTGTGGCGCTCAAAATTAGTCATACGGAAAGATCATTGGAACGGCAGCTGCTGGAAAGTACATGCAGCTAACAGTTGCGCATTCAGCGCCTAAACTGTGGTACAAAGAATAGCAGCTTATGCATAGAAAATACAAAATCCCTTTCAACCAGCTACGAGGGAAGTGCATGAGATGGTTGCTTATTTTTGTCTTTTTATTATGTGGCAGACGGTGTTATAGCTTTCGGGTCAGTCCAATATATTACGTTCGATGTTAATTTAGGTTGATTGTTTCGAATTTTTCATTTTAATGAGGCTAGTTTACTTTTTATTTTTATGTATTTACATAATATAAGGAGATGGAGTATCAATTTGGAGAATTAATATGTAGAATTTTTCCTACCTTAGTTTTATTAATGCAAATAGTACCTTCTTTAGGTATTTTGTATTATTATGGTTTAATAAATGTGGATAGGAATTTAACGGTTAAAGTTGTAGGTCATCAATGATATTGAAGTTATGAGTTTAGTGATATTCCGGGTTTGGAATTTGATTCTTATATGAAATCTTTAGATCAATTAGATATTGGTGAGCCGCGTTTGCTAGAGGTTGATAATCGTTGTGTTTTACCAGAAGGAGTAAATATTCGTTTTTGTATTACTTCAGCGGATGTTATTCATTCGTGGGCTTTACCTAAGATATCTGTTAAATTGGATGCTATGAGGGGGATTTTAAGGATTTTGAATTATAGATTTTCTAATTTGGGCCAAAAAATTTTCTAAAAAATCTAACCACATAGTTGCCAGGATCGACTTTCTCTTAACCTCGGCATTGGAACATGAATGTGTCGTTTTCTTGTTCAGCAATCGCGAGGTTTTTAAACAGCATACATTTACTTCCATAAAAACACAATACAATACAACGCTAGCTGACGTTTCGGCAGTATCGCCTTCTTCAGAGCCTGGAAGGGTATACTGATATACAATCTACTAGGCCAAACGTTTCAATAACACTTACACAAAGACGAAAGACTCTTTGGTTATTACACGATCAACAACTTCTCGAAAAACCCACCGCTTTTTCGTGACTTCCAATGAGGAAGCTTAGAACTGCTGATTATTGTCGCATGTGGTTGACGACTGCACCATCCCACATCAAAAATCGATGCGAACGTACGGGATCAGATCGCGTATGACCTCCGGGCATTCGCCCATGCAATTCATTGTAGGGTTTTTGGCATTGATCCAAAAAGCCTCTAGGAGTTTTCGCGCTGGTGTTTTGGACTCCTGTGCAAGGATATTGACTTTTACTTCAAAATTGTCTCCGCTATGCTTTTGTATCCTATGCGTNTAAATAAAATGGCTAAGATTCTGATTATAACTGAAGCTGGTACATCTTGTAATAGTTCCCAGGATCGACTTTCTCTTAACCTCGGCATTGGAATATGAATGAGTCGTTTTCTTGTTCAGCAATCGCGAGGTTTTTAAACAGCATACATTTACTTCCATAAAAACACAATACAATACAACGCTAGCTGACGTTTCGGCAGTATCGCCTTCTTCAGAGCCTGGAAGGGTAT